CCCATATCATCCAAAAACATGGGAGTTTTTCCTCATTCGCAGCCACTAAACGTTGACTAACCGATTGACATGATCCGTGTCAAAGATAGACACGACCCATGTCAACTCTTCTGTGACAAATTCTTGTTTTCTTCAATTCTTCTCCAAAAAATCCGCATCTTTGCTCCCGGTCCTTTTTCACCATCCCGATTCATCTCCAACCTCCAGAACCACCTGAAATGGCATAAAAAGTGTGGAAATAAAGTGTGCCAATTTTTGTACCAAAAACAAGTAAATTACATGGATAATTACTAAATTGAAATGCAAAAGAATGAAATAAACATGCTTCAATAGTGCATAAAATGCACCTAACAATATTCAAATTCTTCATTTATTGCCTTTTGGAGGGATCTCACGGCGTGAGTTTTTGGTATTCACGTCATGAAGGGTCGTTGACTTGTTGACCCATATTTTGGAGTCTCACAACGTGAACGTGGCTTAATGACCCAAAACCCTAATTTTCGAGTATTTAAGGGAATGAGAGGCTAGGGTTGCCCATGCTCAACATCCTTCTCTCCAAGGCCCAAATTCTCAAAATACAAAAAGGCATACAAGCCCACCATAGGGCCTTTCAGGCCCAATATGGCCCAAGGACTCCAAGCATGGCCTTAGGTCCAAAATGACTTGTTACACTCAGGTGGCCTTGAGGCCCACCTCACTCAAGCCAAAAAGCCCAACACCAACGAGCCCAAAATATTTAAAGCTCACAAATCGTGTACGTATGATGTATTAGAATCGTATACCCAACGTACGCTGGTGTTGACCAGGGTCGAGGTGTTGACCAGGGTCGAGGTGTTGACCCAGTACGCGCAACATACTCTTGAGTACACACGACGTACTGGTATGCCAACCCAAACTCATTTCTATGCCTTAATCCCGTAAGACCTAACGTCCAAAACTTAGATCCATACCCTTAGGAACGTCCTATGCCATAAAGTTGCAAAATTTATGCTTTTGCATGCAAGGTTGGGGACCAAAACATGAATCAAGTCCAACAACACACTTAGATGGTTCCAGACACTTGCGTGGTTGAGGCTTAACCATCAAGATCCGATTTTTAAGACTCAAGGTACCTCCAAGAGCTCAAAAGGACAACTCATATGGTCTAAAGTTCCTAAACTGCAAGAATCCAAACTATGGGACCAAAAGATGACATTTTCCACCCTAAAACTAGATCTAAGCATGTAATGGTCAAGGTTTAATATTTATACCTTCTATAGGTCAAAAATGATGCCAAACTTCTAGATCTTCAAGGTCTTCCCATGTCCTCGCTTATTCTCTAGCCTCCTTCTTCTCCAAAGGCTTTAAAGAACACCTAAAATCACTCAAGAAGCTCACAAATGCACTAGGGTGGCTTAGGGTTCAAGATTCAAACTTCAAGGGTAATGGAGGCTGAAGAGGTAAGGGAATTGGAGGACTTAAGGTCCTTAAATAAGGTGCAAACCATAAAAACTAGGGTTTTCTTCAAACATGAGTATGCCATGCGTACACCACGTACACCCAACGTACGTGGTCGACGTCCGCGACCAGTTTGTGGTTAGTACGCTAAGCGTACTCAATGAGTATGCCCAGTGTACTAACAAAGGGACTAAAATGAAAGGTATTTTACATTAGGGGATTTAAGGGACTTACCAAAAACTTGGGTGCTACAGGACATGCATGATGCATGCATTGTCCATCAAGTAAGCATTTTTATGGACCACTAGGGTCCCCTTAAACTTCTGGAAGGGTTGGAATTGAGGGATGAATGGATTAAGAACGTTAAAACATTGGTTTTGGCTTCAGACCGTTCTCAAGATGTGAGACATGAGGTCTCATGACGTGAGCAGGTGAAACCCATCCCTTACTGAGTTGTCTAATTCAAGAACGAGTCTTTGGACTCGGAACGGGTGACTCTCACGACGTGACCAAGGACCGGTCATGGCGTGAGACGTTGTTTTGGCTTTTTAGGCCTTAATGGGCCACTAGTTTTTTGACTCTGGGCCTTCTTGTGCTTGGGCCGATTTGGAGCTTTAGGTGTCATTTAGGAATTTGAGCCTTCTTGGATTAGGCCAATGATGGCTTTTGGGCAAAATTAGGAAGTTGGGTCATATTGGGCTTTTGGTGCTATTAGTTTGGGCCTTGGATTTTGGGCCAAGTAAGGAAATGGTAAAATGGACTTTTACCCTGAGTTTTGGACAGTCAGACTAGGATTCCAGCTAAGGGTTGTGGATCAATTATTAATTGGGTATTATTTAATGATGCTAGCGCGAGGATTTTTCGGATCAGCAGTCCGAGCTTTTATTTGAGATATTCAGCAGCTTGAGGTGAGTCTCCTCACAGTATTTAGCGGGTCGAAGGCACCAATGTCGGCCCATGATTATCATGATTAGGATGCTAGTTGTCTGTGTGACTCTTGCATGTGTAGTATGAGATATGTATATCGGGTAGGGCCTGATAAGTATATTATATGTTATTTATCTTTGTGATTCTTGCATGTGTTATGTGTTTATATGTATACTGGGAGGGGTCCGATGCTAGGCAGGGCCTGATGAATGTGATGAGGTGGGGCCCATCTCATAGATCTGACAGATCTGTTTCGAGCAGAGCTCGATGTCGGGCGGGGCCTGGTATATGTTTGATATGAATGGTATGTGGTGTTTTGGGGAACTCACTAAGCTTCGTGCTTATGGTTTTCATTTTATGCTTCAGGTACTTCTGGATACAAGAGGAAGAGCTCGGGGTGATCGCATCGCACACACCATATCGTTCCGCTTTTTATTTGACTATGATGTATTTGGATGTTTTGATCATACTCTGATTCTATCATGGTTTTATGAACATGTTTTGCATGATGGTTATATTGTTTTAAAAATTGAAATTTTTGGTCTTACTTTTTGGGATGTTATAAATATATACACGTATTAACTATATAATTTAATAAAAAAAAATAGGGTCTTATCTTGTACGGTCATACACCCTGTACTTCCTTAGGGCCGGCTAACTTATAACCTTATAGCCATTTTTTTTAAGATAAACGTTGTAATTTAATGCGAGGTAATGGCAATGTTGTAGAACTCGTTACTCGGTACCTGTTCGGTCGACTACCGAGTAGCGAGTACTCGGGAGTACTCGCGAGTACTCGGGGAGTACTCGGATTCGGTAATTCATGTAGAAATATTTTTTAGGAAATTATATACGTCAAAATCATAAGTTAAAATCATAAGTTGATTGAAATATATAACAAAATTAGATACCTGTGAATACACAAAAACTGAAAAGCACATAATTGTCTCACTTCGTGAATAATTATTGGAAATTTAAGATATATATGTAGTAATAACAACATGTGTGTGTGTTAAATAATAAATCATTAAGTATGTTATACATATTAATCACCGAGTTGGCCGATTTTTACAACACTACTCAGTTCAGTAAGGGGCCGATTGGGGAGTACTCGAGATTCTGTAACTTGCCTCGGTAAGGGGCCGAGTAGTGAGTTTTCGGAGGAGTAATCGGCCAACTCGGCGAGTTTTACAACATTGGGTAATGGACATTATAATCTAAAAGTTATTGTGTCTGTAAGTTGTAACTATTACGATTTGTTCCTCAGTTATACTTAAGGATGGATATGAAGGAAAAGTGGCGGATGTCGAAGGAAAATCGTGTTTCCGAGTTTTATTAATGGAAGGAAAATGAGGAGAAGAAAAAGATTTTGGAGCCATATTTTTCTTCAAAATTTTCCTCCAAAATTGGGCGGATTTGGGAAGAAAGTGAGGGGAAATAAAATTTTTAAGTTTTATTTTCTTTTTCCTCCCAACTCGGGAACATAAAAACTTAAAATTTTCCTTTCATTTTTTTCAAACTCAAAAACTCGGAATAAAGAATTTTTTTCTTCCACTCCCTTTCTTTTTGTCAATATTTCATTCCCTTTCCTCTATCGAATTTACAAAAAAAAGTCGGGAACAAGGCGCTAAGGTAATTATCATTTTTTTGGCTTATGTTAACAAAGTGTTAACCTTTGAAACTTTGATTTTTATGTTTGAAAATTTGAAAATTCATATTTTATTTTTTAACATTAATATCTGATTTTGTTGGTTTTCAAACCAAACAAAGCCAAATTGTGATTATTTTTTGGTTTGGTTTGAATTATTCGGAATTTAGTTTGGTTTTTATATTGAAAAAAAAAGTTCAAACACTAAATTTGGACAAATCAAATCAAGTGATTCAACACTAAATGCCATGTCGTTAGCTAATATCGGATAATACGTAAAAACAAATTTTTTTAAACAGTCAACAAAAAATAAAAAATATGTTGATTTTTAGGTCAAAAGAATTGCATCTACTTAATTTTTTCAATACATAACTCAAATATGTTGATTTTTTTCTACGATAATTGGTCAAATATTTCATCCAAAACCAGGTCCGGATTGAACCATATAGCTTTTTAAAATTTGGGCCTAAATTTCAGACAAGGTAGGGTTTTTTGTAATTGAAAACAAGGGTTTAAGCCTTTAAGGTTTATGGCCTAAATTTCAATAATTGCGTCAAATAAGAAAAAGAGTACAACACCCCCTAAATTTCAATACTCTCGTTCTCACACACACTCTTACTCCTCTCGCACAACTCTCTTCGTGTTCTCAACTGCAGACGACGAAGACACAGCGACCGGCGGCGACCTCCTGCTTCAGCCGACGACTTTCTCCTCCTGCTCCGGTACAAAATCTGAAGTCCTAGCTTTGATTTTTCTTGTTAAGAGTATATTACTTATTGTTTATTTGTATTTCTGATTTTGCTGCAAAGTTGTGGTTGTTCCCTTTACTAATCGAGTAACAAGAGTCTGGAAGAGTTTACATTTTAGAGTCTTTTTGGTATTTTGACTTGGAGTTATATGCAAGAAATAGAAACATGATTTCAACGATTCGTTAGTATAATGATGAATGATTTCTGACTAAAAAATACATTACCAAGATCAATCATTCATGTTCTTATTAATGATATCCACTGGTGGTCAAAAGCTAAGTAAACTTCCAAAACAAATTGGGGCTTTTGTTAGCTGGGTAACCAAACCCGACTTACCTGTAAACCGATTAAACCAACTTATTATGCTTGGTGATGAACACCAACCCGACTAACCCGAAAACAGCCTAAACCACCTGATGCTTACCCCTAGTTTATGCGTCTGTTTTCTTACAACAGATTCAAACACAATTCAAGAGATGAGAGGCATTGAGCTATCATTGAATCAAACATAGACACTAAGGTTGCAAAGAGCACTCGAACTGTTGGAATCTCTGTCTTCGGGAACCAATTCTGATTCTTCTGTCACTGTCGCCTATTCTATCCCTGTTAACCAAGAAGATGGTGTTCTCAAGTAAATATAAACCCTAACTAATGTCTACTCTCCATATGCATATGTTATATTGTGAGTTTTATGTGTATTTTGATTTTTCTTTCATGTAAGTAACGATACCAGAAATTGTTCCGTCCTCATTTATCCTAATATAGTCTTAGCTCTTAGGAATCGTGGAATTCGTGGTTTATAGGATCGTTAAGCTTAAATTTTGAAATGCTTTTTTCCATTTGTAATATTTTAGGGGTCATGGGACGACAGAGGTTGAGGGTGAGGTCGTAGCAACCGTGTGTGGAGTAATCGAATGTGTAAATAAATTGGTCTATGTTCGCACTTTGAGAGCCAGGTCATGAGCAATCTATTTACCTGAATTTTTATGTTTCATAAGAGTGGAAGCAAAATGCTTAATGCTGAATTTGAAATTGGTGTAGGTATAAGCCTGAGGTTGGTGATATCATAGTAGGTCGTGTTATTGAGGCAAGTCCTAACTCGATTTACTGCTTCTGTTCACTTTAGTTTTATACCAATAGCTTAATTCGCCCGCATATATGCAATTCTTCTCAAGTGAAAAGATAAAATTTGTAGCAGTTGCGTTAAAATGTTTGATACAAGTGAGGAATGTGTTGTTAAGTTGATTAGTAGGTAGTTAGTATTTTGGTTAACAGAGTTTTGTTTTTCATGATATATATGAAGGTTGCTCCAAAGCGGTGGAGATTGGAGATTAATTTTAGCCAAGATGCGGTATTGATGCTCTCTTTAATGAATTTACCTGATGGAATCCAGGTATATATCTCCCACTATGTCATATGGTCATGTTAACGTGCATGAATGCTCTGTGTATGCTTCATGGCTTAGTTTCTTTGTTATTTCCGAACTTGTTTGGATTGTTGTATTTTGTCTTTTTCATGAGTCATGACCATCCTTAAATTGGCAGAGGCGACGGACTGCAGTTGATGAGCTCAACATGCGTACCATTTTTGAAGAGAATGACGTCATCTGTGTAAGCCCATAAATATCGTCCGTTTATTGAAGGCTTTTTTTTACCTCCTTCATGTGTTGTCCAAAATGAAGTGCTGTCCAGATAAATGATGTGTTTATAACATATCTGAGAAAAGACGATCCACTTGGATAAAGTGGAAGAAACCAATAAATGAATGCAATTTTATATAAAAAAGTTAGATTTGATTCTTTTCCTGAATTTCTCTATTAAGTTCTCTTTTCTGCATTAAGTAAAAAAGAAACACTCACTTAATTAAGTACATTTTATAAAAAAAGAAAGAAACAACACTTTAGTATTCATTGTGTTATTTATACTCGATGAATGCCCCCGTTAATCATTATGTTGTTTGTTGTAGGCTGAAGTCCGTGATTTCATGCGCGATGGTTGTAACGCCCATGTTTCTGGGCTAGACATTAATGATGATGTAATAGTCTAGGTTAACCTTTCTAACTCATTTTGAAATAATAAAAATGTATTATTTGAGTATTGTGTGTTTTATGCTTAATTGTTGTGATTTAATTAAATTAAGGATAAAATAAACGTAAAAATAAAATGTTAGATAAACCCAATATCGATACATGAAGTTGTAGTGGTCGTGAAGAGGATCACGGATATATAAATAACGCTGAAATCCAAGTTATGACGAAGAAGTTATGACATGTCAAAGTTTTGCGACATAACCGGTACGACACTGCGTGACGTAAATAGTGAAATCACGATAGAGTGATATTTAGCCTTAGTGATCTAAAAAAAAGTCGTAGGATACGTTAAACCGAGAGCGTACATAAAAAGAACGTCTAAATCTGACTTCGTATGAGGAAATTATGATTTTTCGAAGTTGACTTAACAGTATACAACCCAAAGTTTGAATATGAGATCGAGTGATTTCTTGCCGAATCAATCTAAACGAGAATCGAATATCTCGTCTATAGTAGTGCAACGGTAAAAAGACAGACGAAAACGGATGTCAAACGAAGAAGTTATGAATTTATAACGGAGTTTTCCTGTCCAGGCCTACTAAAAATAATATAATAAAATAAAGTCAAAATTAGCCGACGGAGTCTAAATGAAATTGTAGAGCATAATCTCACCTACGCGTGGATATAAAGAACGTCAAAAACGGAGTTCGTATGTGAAAGATATGAATTTCTAAAAGTTCGGAACACAAACTTCGAGATCAGACAGGGTTCACAACGTGGAGCAGTTAGTGGAGCATCAAGCAGGTAGTGGAACACTAAGAAATTAGTGGAGCAGGTAGTGGAGCACTAAGCAGGTAGTGGAGCACCCAGAGCACTATAAATTGAGGCTCGGGGCTGCCTCATTCTTCACACCTTCAACCCATTCTTTCACTCTCTATACTCTCTCTATCCATTCAAGCTGAAGCTCTGCCCGCAAGAAGCCCAGTGTGTGAAGATATTCCAGTTTCATCAAAGAATACTACTTAAAGAGCCGTAGTGTTGTCCGATAATCATCTTATCTGGAGTGAGTGTATATACCCTTTCTTCTAAACACATAGATATGAAGTATCTCTATAAAATACGTGTTATGTGTTTATACATATTATCTGTTATCTGGTGTGAGTGTATATACCCTTTCTTCTAAACACATTGATATGAAGTATCTCTATAAAATATGTGTTATGTGTTTATACATATTATTTGTTATCTGGTGTGAGTATATATATCCTTTCTTCTAACACATAGATATGAATAAAATATGTGCTATGTGTTTATATATTATCTGTTATCTGGTTTGCGTATTCAATGAATATATATTTTCACAAGATTTAAAATTGTATATGTATGTTTATATATGTATATTATCTACAAAATTGTTGGGTATAACATGGGTAGATAGTTGACGTGTGAAATAAAATGATGAGAGGCTTCAATGTTGTTGTTGTTAATCTAGTCATCTAGCGGAGTATGGATGACGACCACGGACACCTTCTAGACTGTCCAGTGGAACGCTAGCAGGTTCATAACCTGTAGGTGTTTGTGAACGATGTGTTCACCGGTGTACTCTATCCCCCTCATGGTTGCCTTTAGGACATCTATTGTTGAGGAAACCCCTTTGCAGTAATGTCTGTCCCGATGAACTTCCTAGATTAGGTCCCTTGTTATAAATGTTATTTTAGGGACGTAAAGTGAGGATAACGGGAATGGGTAATCGGGTTAATGTTGGTTGGTGAAATTAAATATAATTATTTATTGTGGGTTGAAAGCCCTATATGCTCACCAGACTCCCAAGCATGACCCACTCAGTTTTATTTGTATTACAGGAAGTGGCGCAAGAGCCTAAGATGGATTAATCATCAAGTTATTTGTTTATATGCCTATGGTTCTGTAAAACTGTTGTAAGGTCTGTATTGTACTGTTTATGCTTTTGATTTGTATCGGAACATGACATCCCGATTTTTATAATATATTTCTTTAAGAAATGCTTTGATAAACTTTAGTTTATCATATTTTGTTTTGGGAACAAATTCCGCAAGTCTTTTTAAATCAATGGATTTACTCTGATTTTATTTTAAAAGCATAAATTAAACCGGTCTTTTCTGGCCATGAATTTGGGGATGTCACAATAGTAGTCTACAACTGCAAGCAAGGAGCCAGAAATATGGAAAGGTTTGGGTTGCTTTACTATGTAACCTATGTGTTTATGTTGTCTTTTCTTGTCCAGAAGTATGGAAAGATTCTAATTCCTTCCAAGAAATTTTTTCATTTTGTGAGCTTGTTGGTGTATCTTAATGGAAGATGAGTTTGGATGATGTGATTATTTTTAGCTTAATGATTTTAATGATGATGGTAATTTGCATGTGCAACTAGAAAGGGGTCAGATGCTAACAATATCTCCATATCTAGTAAAGAGGCGCAATGTCACAACTAGGAATTTTGATGCTTTGTAACAACAACAATTATACCAACTGTAAACCAACAAGGTGAAAGCATGCATGATGCTTATTCAATAACAACAAAACTTCAATCACACACTTTATACAAGCACTGCAAATAGTCAACAAAGAATTGGAAACCCTAGAAATCCCGGTTTAAGTCCATTTTGGACTAGGATTTCCTTATTGGGCCTAATGGACCAATAAGCTTCCAATTTAACTATCATGAACATAGAACTCTCAAATGGGCCCTAATTGGACCCATATACATGAAACTTAATATTTTGGGCCTTATAAGCCTAAAATGAACTAGGTTATCTTTAATGGGCCTTATTGGGCCACGACAAATTTATATAGCCTTAGTGGATCATAAAAATCATTCCTTGAATTAATTTGGGCCAAAAATCACCTAATTGGGCCATAAGATGGACTTAAGAACAAAAAGCCCAATTTTCTTTTCTCCTTTCTCCTTCTCTCGGCCCAAACCACAAATGGAGGAAGAGTTGACTTCCACTTGCCACCTCATTATTATATCTTGGTTCTCCATGCAATATCCCATGTTTCCAAGTAACCATCTCATCAACACTCTCTCTTCTCCTCTCTCTTTTTCTCTCGGCCGAAGACACACACCCACACACATATTTCATCCAACTTTTTGAAACAAACTCTCTCAAGAATATCCTCACTCTTCTTCATCAAATTTTCGAGATTTAGGAGCTTTTCAAGGAGAGTATTCCACAAAAATCATCATCTAAGGTAAGTTCATGTTTAAATCTATGATCTAACTACTTCATTTCATCAAAAACCTCCTCCTAATCTATTCAAACTCGTGATCTTGCATCTTAGAACACTTCTAAGCCAAAGATCCTCCAAGAAGTTTACTAGGCCGAGATTTACATCAAACTTCTTCCATTTTTCTTCTAAACCGAATCCACAAACACAAGGTGAGCTTCATACACCTCTCTTTTTCGGTTTTCATAAGTTTTATGGGGGATAATACAAGTAAAATGTGTAGATCTATGTGTATGTGTATTCTATGTATGATTTTATGCATGTATGTGTGATTTTATGTGTTTTTATGGAGAATATGTAACCAAAAAGGGGAGAAAACTCAAGATCTATGCTATAAGAAGGAAATCAAACATGATCCAAGTTATATTACACTAAACAAGTCAAAAATATTAATCTCTAAGATTATTATAAAAACATTGCAACATAAAACTCATTTTTGGGCTTAAATTGTCAAATATACAAAAATTGGGTTTAAAATTGCCATTCACGGTTTTCTTAAAGGTCAAAAGAGTCAAAACAGTTACAATGATTGTTTTTATGAACATTACAATCTTCAAAGGACTTAAAATGTAAATATTAGCTTAATGGGCTAATTTTTGGGCTTTTCGGCCCAACAAGCCCAAAGTTGCGAAAATTATGAAATTGAAAGGGCTGAAATGGTAATTTCTTCAAAACTGGGGATAAAAAGCTAAACAAAACTATTTCAAGGGTTAAAAATGTTTTTCTTTTCCAAAAAGGATCAAAAATGTTAAGTTTTTGGATTTTGGGCCAAAATTGTAAAAGTTGCAAAAGTTTGGGTTTTAAACCGAAAACACTTTTCTGGAAGGACTGAAACTGCCAAAGAATAAACTTTGAGCTAAAAACATCATTTGAACAAGTCTATGATGCAAAAGTGTCAAGAAAATGTCATAAGGGTTTAAAATGTCTTTTCTTTCATATAAAGGACTAAAATTGTTATTTTTATAAAAAAAAAGGGACTGAAAAGGTTAAACCACTATTTTAAACAAATTATTTTATTTATAGAATATTGAGTCAAAAATACTAATCTACGACTTACAAAAATTGAAAGACGAATACACGTATAACTCCAAATATCGTTATAAACAAATCGATCGGTCTCGAGTCGATACAAAAATAACAAACTGTTCAATCAAACCTTCCAACAACTATTCAATGCCTAAGACAAGTAAACATTCCAAAACCTTGGGCTTAAAGGCTCCAATCATGCTTGTTGGACCTTTGAAATCCATTAACATGATCTTTGGGCCCCAGGGATAACGATAATATATGTTATTGGGCCTTCAATGACCCAATTCCATATAAAGGGACCTTCAATGGCTTTTAAGTGCTATTGGGCCCTAGTGGTCCATTGGTATTGCTAGTAAGGTCAAAGTAATCAAATGCGAGATGGTCCAACGTGTCCTTCGCATTCCCAGCAGCCTAAAGTAACTCACGGATGTAGCAGGACTTTGTACTCCTCTTCTCCTCGTTTGCTAGGCTTATGAGTAATCAAAGTAAACAGATTCAGGTTGTTAATCAATAGTAATCAAGGTTGTTTGGATTAAGTGAGTGATAACGAGCGACGCCTTTAAGGATCGTTCGTAGTATGTAGTTATAACTAGTCATTATTAATGCATGATTATAACGACTCACAACCCTTAATTAAACCAACACCACCCGAGTAATCAAGGAAGAGTAATCAATAATCATTCGTCGTAACGGTATAGCAATTTGTAAACAAGTATATCTTG